ATTAATGTTTGCCAAATGTGTGAATAAGGAAAAAACACTTCAGGTACAGATAAAAATGTATAGGGGACTCAGTGTTTTGAGAGAAGTCACCTTACATTTGGGCAAATGGTAATAACATTGTATGGATAGAAAAGGGATGAATTTCCATCTGAGATGAATAATACTGATGATAAAACTATTCATTCCAATAGATAGAAATGTGATTGCAAACTTTTAAAAGTGCATTTCCTTCCTGTGCATTGCGCACTTCCTTCTAGCTCCAATAACACTGAGAATAGTTAAGCAGTAAAAGAGAAGGATCCCCAGGGGATGTGAGCTCTAAGTTTGAAACCTGAGAGATGAGTAGTTGTCCAAAAGAGGGAAAGTGGTAATAGTTGTGGAAAAGGAGTTGGAAAAATATCCTAGGCAAGAGAATACCTTGTTCAAGGATGAAAGCTCAGAGATTTGGCAACTTTAGGTGGTAAGGCAAGTGATTCAGCAGTGTGGAAGTGAAGACAAGAGCAAAAAGCCCAAAGGACCCTACTCATAAGTCTTAAAGGTCTTGTTAAAATATTTGGACTTTACTTGAGGATAATGATGAGTCAAAGATTTTATATGGAGCCATGTGATCAGTTAGAAAGAAAGAGTGAGGTGTTGAGAAAATCTGACTGGATGGCCACCCAGACAAGGTTTCTCATGGTTACTATTTGTATCCCCACATTCCAAGGTCAAATCTTTGACTTCAGAGTTTCAGAAATTGGCTTTCATCAACATAAGGACAATGGATTGTTAGTCTCACACTAACAGAACTTCCAAGGAACTTTTTCTATCAATTATATAAATTTTCCAGTGACCAGTATATTCATGTCTCCTACACGGAATCTCACCTCCCTTCTCTGTATCCAAGTCTGGACCTCAGAAAGTTACTTCTTAAGTTAGAATCAGAGAAAAGAGACAAGTCAAGTATATTGAGGGATATTTTACTCCAGCCTACAGCTCTCAACCCTGACTGTACATTAGAATAATTCAGGGAGGTTTTTAAAAAAATTATTGATGTCCCTTTTAGCCTAGTTAAATCAGAATCTCCAGGAGTGAGCCCCAATTTACTTTTGTAAACCTCTCACATGATTCTAATGTACAGCCATTGACCTAGGCCCTGGTCTAACTTGATGAGACAACTCCGCTACTGAGTAGATGTTCACACCCTTCCAAATTCAGTGTTTGCTCACTGGACAAGACAGGATACATATTGCCAACTTCTTGTCTCTGACTCCAGGTTTTCTAGTTTCTGTTGCAAACCACCTCTATTCCATTGACATATACTTTCTTTTTCACTTTAAACTATTTCAAACATAGACTAGAATAGAAAATAGAATAATGAATAACTGTGAATCCAAAACCAAACTTTCTCAAATCTAACAATTTTGTACATTTGTTTCAGATATTTTGTAAAATTACAGATACGAATTTTAGTCCCCTATACACTCTTGTCCAATCCAATTTTCCTCCTTCTCTGCTTAGAGGTAACCATGATCGTTAAAGTGGTATTCATTATTTCTAAGCATATCCTTTTACCAAAAATGGATGCCTTTTTAAACGGATGCAAAAAACCAGAACTGCTTTGTGTACTTGTAATTTTTATATAAATGACATCATCCTTCATGTAGCCTGCAATTTTCAATATCGATCAAGAGTATGTTTTGGAGAATTATTTATTTTAATACATTTAACTTCATTTCAACCATTTTCACTGATGTATAAACTATATGAATTTATATAAATGTAGCTTCCATGCTAGAGTTTCTCTTGGGTATATATCTAGAAGTGGAATTACTGGGTCAATATATATATATATGCATATTTAACTTTCCTTGATGTAACTAAATTATTCTCCAAAGAAGTTCTAATTTAGTCACCCACCAGCAGGGTATGAAAGTTCCATTTGCGTCACAGCCTTATCAATGCTAGACATTGTTGCCAATACGATCTTTAAAATTTTGCCAATCTAATGAGTGTAAAATAATATGGGTTTTAATTTGTAATTCCTTTATTACTAGTGAGATTGAGCATCTTTTCATATGTATTGGCTATACAGTTTTCCTTTGCTAGGAAACAAGAGTCAAATATTTTTATCCAGCATAGAAAAACTTAATGATCTTTTTTTTATTTGTTCTATATACAATGGAACTTGAAATGACTACTAATTACCAGTTAAAATTATATGTTAACTGGCAAGAATTTATAGACTTTCTGGGAGATTTACAGTTTGGGGGATGACAGATTGTCTAAGTTTCCTATTTGCTGTCACTGCTGATTTTGTGGATCTTTGCTCAATAAAAACCAGAATCAAAAGTGAGATTGTATACGTTGTGTGCTTTAGTATATTGACTCTATTATCTTGTGATTACAAGTTGTAGACCCTTTATGAACTTTGACTTTTTCATCTACTTGCTATATGTGCAGATGTCAGCTATCTATTTCTACCAAATATGTATAAAAATACCATAATTCCAAATTGTTTTGTATTACCCAATGATCTAAGAACTTTAAAAAGGGATTTTTCATAATCTCTAGGTCCATGCCAATCACATTATTTCATTCTTTTTTATGGCTGAGTAATATTCCATTGATATACGTACCACATCTTCATTATAGATTCCTCTGTTTATGGACATTTATGTTGCTTTCATGTCTCGGTTATTATAAATAGTGCTTCAGTGAACATTGGGATGCATGTATCTTTTTGAAATATGTTTTTTTTCTGGATATATGCCTAGTAGTGGGATTTCTGGATCATATGGTAGTTCTGTTTTTAGTTTTTTAAGGAACCTCCATACTGTTCTCCATAGTGGCTGTATCAAATTACATTCACCAACGGTGCAAGAAAGTTCCCTTTTCTCCACACCCTCTTCAGCATTTATTGTTTGTAGACTTTTTGATGATGACCATTCTGACTGGTGTGTGGTAATATCTCATTGTAGTTTTGATTTGCATTTCTCTAATAATTAGCAATGTTGAACATATTTTCATGTGCTTTTTGGCCATCTGTATGTCTTCCTTGGAAAAATGTCTATTTAGGTCTTCTGCCAATTTTCTAATTGGGTTGTTTGTTTTTTGATACTGAGCTGTATGAGCTGTTTGTATACTTTGGAGATTAATCTCTTGTCAGTTGCTTCATTTGCAAATATTTTCTCCCATTCTGTGGGTTATCTTTCCATTTTGTTTATGGCTTCCTTTTCTATACAAAAGCTTTTAAGTTTAATTTGGTCCCATTTCTTTATTTTTCTTTTTATTTTCATTACTCTAGATGGTGGATCCAAAAAGATATTTCTGCAATTTTTGTCAAAGAGTATTCTGCCTATGTTTTCCTCTAAGAGTTTTATAGTATCCAGTCTTACATTTAGGTCTTTAATCTATATTGAGTTTATTTTTGTGTGTGGTGTTAGAGGATGTTTTAGTTTCATCCTTTTACATGTAGCTGTCTAGTTTTCCCAGCACCACTTATTGAAGGGACTGTCTTTTCTCCATTGTATATTCTTGCCTCCTTTGTTGTAGATTAATTGACCATAGGTGCAAAGGTTTATTTTTGGGCTTTCTATTCTGTTCCATTGATCTATATTTCTGTTTTTGTACCAGAACCATACTGTTTTGATTACTGTAGCTTTGCCATTTACAGCAACATGGATGGACCTAGAGATTATCATGCTAAGTGAAGTAAGTCAGACAGAGAAAGACAAATATCACATGATATCACTTATATGTGAAACCTAAAGAAATGATGCAAATGAACTTGTTTACAAAACAGAAACAGACTCACAGACTTCAAAAACAAACTTATGGTTACCAAAGGGGAAAGGTGGGAGGAGGGATAAATTAGGAGTTTTGGATTAACACATACACAGTACTATATATAAAATAGATAATCAACAAGGGCCTACTGTATAACACAGGGAACTCTACTCAATAATCTGTAATAACCTATATGGGAAATGAATCTGAAAAAGAATGGATATATGCATATGTATAACTGAATCACTTTGCTGTATACCTGAAACTAACACAACATTGTAAATCAAATTTACTCCAAAATAAAATAAAAATTAAATTAAAAAGGAGATCTTTCAAACTGTTTATAAAATTAAGGTTTTACCATGTTTTTTGCTGCTACTGCTTTTTATTGTTTTTGAGTTTAGAGGCATTTCTTTTATTTTAATTTTCAGATCCTATGAACTCAAGTGAACATACTGATTTAGAGCTTTTACAGAGGTGTTAAAATTGCTGTAATAAGCTTATCAACTTTTTATGTATATAAGTATTCTTGTCATGAACAAATTAAAATTTTCACTGGGTTAGTTATACTATTTGTCATATTAATTACTAATTTTACAGATTATAGATTTTTGACAGAAATTCAAAACTACTTCACTTGATTACTCTTTGTCTTATTTCCGATGTTGAGAATAATTCTTTCTAATTCCTCTTAATACACAAACTGAACTCCATCTTATAAAAATTTGCTTCCTGTTAGAATACCAAATACTCTTGGGCTTATAAAGATGCCTTTATAAACTCATACTTTGTTCTTTGTAAGCTTGTATATATATTTCAACTAACTACTGATAAACTGTATAATTTGGCACTGTCTTTCCTCAATCTTCAAATCTTCAGCGAAAAGTTTTAAAAATATACTTGATTGCTGAGTGAATTAGGGAAAGTGATTTTTTGAAAAATAAAATTATGTCTTAAGTGTTTGGAATTTAAATTAGTGTTATCAGTAAATTAGTCTGTTAAAGTTATTTTTAAAGTGAACTCTCTGCAAGGAACATCAAATGAGGATTTCTTCACATGTCAGGCAGAAATGCAAGACAATGAGCTTTGAGAGTCCTTTGTCTTCTTGACACCAAAGATCTTTGTTTAAATGAAAATTTGGATAAACCCCAAGTAAGAGAAACAAAGGAACCATTAAGAAGATTGGAGAAGTCTGGAAGGAGTGTGAAAGGACACTTTCCTCCACTACTTACTGTCCCCTCACTGCTTTTCTTAATCAGGCCTCCTCAGGAGGCAAGATGGGATGACAAAAAGGACAGCAGTCAGTCTCCTTTCCCAGGGCCTTCACGAGGAACATTCAGGGGTTCTGCACTTCTGAAAACTGTAATTGGTCAAGCCTTTGCTTCAGTAACCTATAAACACAGGATCACAGGATATAAGTTAAATATAGAAAAATATGATATGTAAATTCATGAGTTTTGCAGGTAGGTAGATCCAAATGGTAGCAAAATCTCTTCTGCCTTGACTTTAAAGGAATGAAAACAGAAATGGCGATGAAATGAATGTCTATAAAGAGTTAGGCAACCTGCAAAGCCCCTGTAAATGTCCCTGTCCCCTAGTCTCCTGACCACCCCACACCATTATCACCACTAGCACCACCACCTGGACTCAAGGCTCTGAATTAGAAATTGATGTTTCACCACTTTCGTGGACATTTCATTCATTGATTAACATTATGTGATAGAAGTATTCTAAGGCAACTTAGTATAGGAGGCGCTTGTTTTAAACTGGCCACTCACTGAAATAATCAAGCAGTTTGGGAGGGGGAAGGAATTGTCCTAGCCGGAATCTAGACACTGATTCTACTCAGTCTGAAACTACATTAAATCTGCTTTCCAAAAGAGAAAGAACATTCTTCCTTAGGTGACTCCTGTATGAACTTTTTAACTATTGAGGTCCAGCATTCCACACCCCCAAGCCAGTGTGGAAACTCCCCAAAGGAGCAGTTCCTCTTCTGCTTTTTAAATGAATTGACCATATCTTTTTTCCCCAAGAAATCCCTAGGGATTCTTTCCTTCTTTCTTTCACACACATTACTTTTGTTGTATTCAAGAGACCACATTCCAAGTGGTCTTGTTAATTAATTAGATGGTAAAATTAGATGGTAAAAATATTGCAGTTCTTTTAAAACTCCACATCAATGTCATGATAGGATTAGTGTCATGATAGATTTTTTTTAACACTATTTATTTTAAGTTGCGAAAAATTAAATTTCATGGAGAATGATTTTCCTCTCTTGTAGCTATCTGGGTGCTCTCTACCATGCCTATACACCCCCTATACATATGTGTTCTTGGCAATACCCCAGGAGGTTTGCGTCCCAGATCCTGTCACCACTGAACATCACAATATGCAGATGTGGTAGCCCCACTCTTATAATGGCAATTGCTCCATGCTGGAGCCATGTGCCCACCCACAACCTATGGTAACCTAAGCGTAAATATAATTTTGTCGTAGGAAAGGGGGACTGGGGATTATTTATGATGACTTGAAATCAATCTCCTTTATAATTCACCAGAAGTTTGGAAGTTCCAAAACTGCTCATAGTCATAGATAAATATCTTTGGGTAAATCATAGACTGGGAGGCATTTTGCGAGGGAGTTCTGGGTTGATTCATTCAACAAACTTAGCATGACTTTTTTTTTTTTTTTTTTTTTTTTGTGGTACACGGGCCTCTCACTGTTGTGGCCTCTCCCGTTGCGGAGCACAGGCTCCGGACGCGCAGGCTCAGTGGCCATGACTCACGGGCCCAGCCGCTCCGCGGCATGTGGAATCTTCCCGGACTGGGGCACAAACCCGTGTCCCCTGCATTGGCAGGCGGACTCTCAACCACTGCGCCACCAGGGAAGCCCTAGCATGACTTCTTGATCCATCTGCAGTAATGACCCTATAGATTTCCCTATTGTGGATTTTCATATGAATGGATCATATAATGTGTGAAATTTTGTGACTGGCTTCTTTTGCTTAGCATGTTTTCAAGGTTCATCCAACTGTAACATGTATCAGTACTTCATTCTTTTTTATTGAAGAATAATATTCCATTGTATGGTTGCTTATCCTTTCATCAGTTGATTGACATTTGGATTATTCCCACCTTTTGGCTATTAAGAACAATGCTACTATAAACATTCGTTTACAAGTTTTATTATGAACATGTTTTTCATTCTCTAGGGTATTTACCAAGGAGTGGAATTGCTGGGCTTAATCATTTGAGAAATTCCCAAACTGTTTTCCAAATAACCTGCACAATTTTATATTCCCACCAGCAGTGTAAGAGAGTTCTGATTTCTCCATATTTTTAAAGCACTTTTGTTATCTGATTTTGTTATTTTAGTCATCCTTGTGAGCCTTGATTTCTGTTCTCCGTGGCTCAAGAAACTTTTAGAATCAAAGCTCAAATTCTCCCACACCCCCCAAAATACCTAACTGGCTTCCCTCTTTCTCTTTTATTTTGCCCTGATAATTTCACTTACATATTCTGGTTACATATACTTATATGGATATCTAAATAGATAAATAGATCCATACACACACACACACACACACACACACACACTAGCACTTAGAATTGTTTTCAGTAGAATGATTTGTCTAATTTACCTAGGACATAATATAACTGAAAGTAGAAATTTGTTCTTTTGTCCATTTTTTTATTGGGACCTTTTTATGATTGATAGTAGGAGTTCTTTACATATTCTGCATAATAATCTTAATTTTAGTTATATGTGTTGTAAATGTCTTATGTAGTTTATATTATTTTACTCTTAATACTGTCTTTTAATGAACAAAATTCTTAATTTTACTATAGTTGAATTCATCAATCTTTTCCTTTAGGGTTTTCATTTGTATGTCTATTATAAGAAATATTTCTTTACCCCAAGGTCATAAAAATACTGCCATGTATTTTCTTTTAAATATTTTAATGTCTTTCACATTTAAGCCTTTATCCATTCGGAATAGATTTAGTCTGTGAGGTTGGGATCCAATTTCATTATTTCATTATGTGTAACTGACAGTCCTAACAGTGTTTATTGAACAGTCCCATCTTTCACCAGTGATATACAGTGCCACCTGTGTCATATAGCTCTCTTCTATATATGACGTCCTTTTCTTTTTTTCTCATTAATTTGTCTGTGTATTTATAAATACCACACTGTCCTAAATATTAAGAATTTATGTCTTGATACCTAATAGAACAAGTTTCACCAAGTGCCACATTAACTATTTCTGTCATTTTGCTTTTCTTGTATATTTTAGAATTATATTACCAAATTCCTTGAAAGCTGTTATTAAATTTTGACTATAATTGCATTTAATCTATAGATCAGTTTGTAGAGAGCTGATATATTTTCTTTGTCAAGTTTTCCTACCCATGGGTGAGCTTACTTATCCACTTATTTAGGGCATATTCAACTTCTCTGAATAATATTCTATAATTTTCTTCATAAAGATTCTTCACATATTTTGCTAAATGTAGTAAGCGTCTTGTCTTCTTTGGATTTAAAATGGGATGCTTCTAATAGTTCACCATAAAAAATGGTATTAACTGTAGGTTTTTTTTGCAAATACCTTTATCAGGCTAAGGGAGTTCCTCTAAATTCTGATTTATTTGAGAGGGTTTTTTTTTAAAAAAAAATGACTTAAATTTTATTAAATACTTTGATTGTGAGTTTATATTTGGTTGATCTTAATCTCTGAAAAATCTGATAGCCTCCATCAAGTATGCTTCCTCTGAAGGAATGTGTTTCCTTCAGTCAGAAGCTGGAGAATCATAATAGCCCCCTTTTAGGTTACTCAGCTTAATTCAAGAATTTTAGATGGGGACTTCCCTGGTGGTCCAGTGGTTAAGAATCGACCTTCCAATGCAGGGGACATGGATTGGATCCCTGGTCGGGGAAATAAGATCCCACATGCTGCGGGGCAACTAAGCTTGTGCACTGCAACCACTGAGCTCACGCTCTCTGGAGCCCGTGTGCCACAACTAGAGAGGAAAGCATGCCACAACAAAAGATCCGGCATGCCACAGTGAAAATCCTTCATGCCACAACTAAGACCCATTGCAGCCAAATAAATAAATAAACATTAAAAAAAAAAGAATATTAGATCAAATTATCTACCTTTTGCAAATCCCTACATGCAAACCTTAGTCCCTTGATTGCAGTAAAACTTGACACTTGCTCTCAGGGAACCTGCCTTTTGTGAATACCTATAATTCACTGTTACAGTTTCAGTTCCATTTAGATTGGCCCCACAGGCAAAAACATATGTATTCTGGATTTTGTTTATTAATAATAATTAGAAAATCCTCCCAATGCATACCTAGTGTCTTAAGTGCAGTAGAGGAAGAAAACCCTGTGCAGCATCCTCATTCCTCCATTGGATTCATATATTTTTTAAATTCAACAAATTTCTATTGAGGGTCCACTATGTACCAGACAATATTCTTGGAACTAGGGAGTTTGGTCATGGATAAACAAAGAGACAAAAAAAAAATTCTGTCTTCATGAGTCTTACATTATAAACACAGATAAACAAGATCATTGTAAAATATATAAAGCATTCAATAGGGTTAAGTACTAAGGAGAAAAAATAAATAAATCAAAGGGAATATGAATGGAAAAGTAGGTAAAAAAGTGAGATAGGCTATCCAGGGAAGACCAGACTGAGAAGGTGTCATAGAGTAAGACTAGAAAGAAATGAAAGAGCTGGACATTGGGATATTCAGGAGAAGAGTCTTCTGGGCAGAGCACACAAGAGCCTCTGTGGTCAAAGGAGCTTAGTTAGAGCATGAAGGGTCTACTCTAGAGCAGCAGAAGTCTTTGCGATCAGAGGGGGGAAAGAAAGGGAAGTTAGCAGAAGATATACTCAAAGAGGTTAAAGGGAACCAGATCATATAGGGCCATATAGTTCTTACTTTGAATGAGACAGGAAATTATTGGAGAGTTTGGAGCAGGAAGAAGTAATTATTTTTCTGCCAAAGGTTTAAATAGAATCACTGCAAAACACTAGACACTCAGCACACTTACCTGCTGAGAACTTGGGTTTTGGTGTTGGTGAGAGGTGTTTATTTGCAAAAGAATATACTTTGGAAATCCAGGAATGAGCACAGGAGTAAACACCAAATGTATCATGGATTTACCTGTAAAATCAAGAAAATGATACAAGTGCAAGAACACATGGATGAATTACTTTATAACCTGGGTGTATTGTACATAAAGCTTTCTCACTATGGCTCATAATCCAGATACAATAAAAGAAAAGATTGATCAACTTTTGATAAAAGTAAAAGAAAATGTTTACAAGGCAAAATCAACATAAATACACATCACTTGCATACCCCTCAGAAGGGCAAAAATTAGGAAGCTGGATAATGTCTAAGACTGGCAGGGATGTGGAGGCAGAAGAAGCCTGATTCAGCTGTTGGTAGGACTGCAGACAGATGCAGGGGGGCCAATAGTAGCAGTGTGTATGGTCGAATAGTACAGGCACTCTGTAACCCAGTAACACTGCCCCAAGGTAAATTTCCCAATGAAATTCTTTTATAATTCCATATGGTACATATATAAGGATGTTCCTAATAGCATTGTAATAGCAGAGAGTTAAAGGCAATCTAGGTGCCCAACATCACAGGGAGTAGGTAAGTGAAATGTGGTACATGTAGCAGTCAGAAGTAACAGATTAGATGTACATTTAGCAAAATAGATGGATATTAAAAACATAGTGTTGATTGAAGAAAAGAAATAGAACAAGGCCTATATGATGATAGCATCTATGTAAATTAAAAGCAGATACCCATAAAACTATATATTTTGCAAGAACATATGCAAATAAAGGGATACATATCAAACACATTAGAATGGTTATTTATGGAGAGGAAGAAGAAGCATGAGAGTGAAGAAGGGAAATAAAAGCAAATGTCACAGAGTCTTCTGAGGCTCACCTATAGGTAATTCTCTTTTCCTCCTAAATGTATGAGAGGATAGCACTTCCCTTCCCCCCTCCACCCTTTACTTGGGCAATGTCATGGGGTTAGTTCTGTCTTAAGAGTTGTAGGTGGAATTCATGTGTGCCAGTTCTAGACCAGAGCATTTAATTTCTGGTGGGAGATCATCCAGTGCTCTAGTCCCCTACTGCAAATAATCATGAAAGCACACATTGAGAAGAAACTTCCATCAGCCTGGATCTCTGAGCGAATACAAGGAGCTGAGCACTCCTCCAGCTTCTAACCCACTAACAGTCATTGGACAGATAGTTTTAGTGAAAGATATACTTTTGCTGTTTTAAAATTCTGGGATTTGGGAGTGTTTGTTAATACAGCATAGTCCTAGCCTATTCTGATTAATACAGGGAATAATCAGTTAAATAAAACCAGAGGGGGGTCTTTCAGGGACCAGTGATGCTGAAGAGAATGACTAACTCAAATGTATACACCTGAGCTTTCCCCTACCCCACCCCAAGTAAGATGGAGAAAGAAGACAAGGTAATTGCCTAAGATCACACTGCCTTGAATTAGGGCATGATAAAAACCCTCAAAAGAATGAACAAGAATAAATGCTTCACCAGCCTAGAATTCAATGAAGTTTTCACAGAGTTCCCTGTGCCATTTCCAGAGATAGGATGGAGACTTGTAGGTTGAGGAGTATGGCTACTGGTTTTCTCAAGGATGAAAATCCATCTTATCCTACAAGGGCTGAAGAGTGAATCCATGTTAGCCTGAAGTTTCACCCCCATTCAACCTTAAAAAAATAAATAAACAAAGTCAAAATATAACTGACTAACTGGGAGAAAATATCTGCAAAAACTGATAGAAAAGTGGACAAAAGCATGAACAGAGAATTCAAAAAAGAACAAAAAATTAAAATTGCTATTGAACCTATCAAAATATGTTCATACTCACTCATAATAAGAGAAATACAAATTCAGAGTACACTGAGATACAATTTCTCACCTATTAGTTTGGCTAAAATTAAAAACTATGATGACAACATATTTGTTTAATGAGACTGTGGAGAAATAGAGTGCTCGTATGTAACCCAGGTAGAAATGTAAATTGATACAACTCTTATTGAGAGAATTTGGCAATATCTAGCAAAACAAAATATTTGTTTACTTTTTAAACCAAGAATCCCACTTTGAGGAATTTGCACTGAAGACAAACTTCCAATAGTAGAAAAATAAATACATACAAAGTTATCTTTTATAGCATTATAGAGAATTGCAAAACATTAACTACAACCTAAATGCCCATATATAGGAAAATGCTTGAATAAACTATGGTTATCTACATGAGGTCCTATAAGCTATAAAAGAATGAGGAATACCTCTGAACTTATGAATTCCAGCATATCTCTTAAGTGGGGGAAAAGTGCCTAAACTATGCTTTTTTTATGTAATAAAGAGAGATAAAAAGACATACGTGGTCTGCTCATTTGGGCAAAATTTAAAAGATATATAAGCCAGAAACTACTGAAATTGGGTACCCATAAAAAGTGGGTGGAAAGGAAGAGGACAGAGTAGAAGTGGTGGGCAAAAGGAACATGTCGCTGATCATATCTTTTTATATAGTTCTGACATTTGAAACTATATTAATGTTTACTGATACAAAAATTAAAAAATAAAAAAGGATGTGGAAAAAAACTAAAATGGAATACAAAGAAAAACAAATACATCTATCAGTATAACATACCCACACTGCAGGGAGGAGGTAATTAATCTAAGCAAATTTTGGACAAAGCAATGTTATTTTTATGCTCTCAGGCTAAAGGCAAAACAAAATAATTTTAAACTAATAGATTTGATTTTCACCATGGTATAAGATTAGCAATTCCAAAACTTCTTTCTGTGTATTCTAGGACTGAGTAAATAAGTTAATAGATTGTGGATAATGGGAACTAGGTATCTCACTGTTGGAAAGGGAGTTACAAATAAGGAAAGAGGGAAGGTTAAAATAACATCCATGGTATTGGCCTTGAGTTTGAAGAACTGATATAAATTCATGACTTATACATAAATATGAATAGAAATAGATTTAAATAGGTATAGGGATATGTATACAAACATATATTTCCCAGCTCTGCTTTCTGAGAGAGTCTAGAAGCAATGTTACTCCAATGGCAATGAACACACTTAGTATCCAGATCTTGGTTTTCAAATACCTTTCTCTACTAAAGGAACCAGAATCCTTTGGAGAAATGACAAATTCTAGTGCTGGGTCTGGAAAAACACAAGGTGAGCCTGAGACATCTTGTTTTGCCAGAAAAGAAATGTTCAAAGAATGAGGACAACCAGTCAAAATGACACAGGAGCTACTTTGAGGGCTCCCACCAGCCATATCAAGGGCAATCAAAATAAATAATGATAGTAATAGATTATGACTCATTAAATAAATGAAGTCTATATTGATATAGATATTGAGTCTGTGTTGATATAAATAAATGAATAAACAAATGGGAGAGAAGGGAAATCTTTTCTTTATAGTGGAATGTCAATAATAAATATAGAAGTAATGACTGAATGAGAAAAAAATACAGTTTGGCAACCATCATGGTAATAATCGATTTAGGCAAGAATCATAAAAATATTAAAACTAAAATTAGTGGGTAAAAATTTGATGAAAAATGAGATATCTACATAGTTTTAAAGAATCTTTTCATAAAATGCTTATTAATTACAAAAGGAAAATATTAACTTTACACTAGAACAACTGAGCAGACACCACTTTAACTAAGTGATCAAAATTAACACCATCCATAACAAGACAAATAGATAATATATGCCTCCTGATATAATGTACTGAAAAGGACATAATCTCCCTTCTGTGATGTTCCTGAAAAAAATGCATAATCAGAATCTAATCTGATGAAGAAACATCAGACAAAACCAAATTGAGGCAAGTGCTGGCCAGCCTCCAGGATGGCTGTGAGTGATCCCTGCTTCCTGTTATTCTCATCCATGTATAATGCCTTCTCACACTGAAAGGGGCTGATCTGTGTGTCTGTATTAGTCAAGGTTCTCTACAGAGAAAGAGATATAGAGACAGAGGCACAGAGACTCATACACAGAGACAGAGAAAGAGAGAGACAGAAAAAGTGACAAAGAAAGAGAGACAGAGGAAGAAACAGAGATTTATAATAAATAACTGGCTCACACAATTATGGAGGCTCATAATCCCCAAGATCTGCAAGGTGAGTTGGCAAGCTAGAGACCCACATGAGCCAACAGTGTAGCTCTAGTCCAAAGGCCAGCAGTCTTGAACCTCTGGAAGAGCTGATCTTCAGTTCGAGTCTGAAGGCAACATAAAAGCCAATGTCCCAGTCTGAGGGTAGTCACACAGGAGGAATTCTCTCTTACTCAAGGAATGTTCAGCCTTTTCTTCTATTCAAACCTTTAACTGATTAGATAAGGCACATTAGGCAGGACAATGTGCTTTACATAGTCTACTGATATTACATGTTAATTTCAAGGATTCCCGTCCAATATGGTGACCTGGGAGGCTCCTGAACTTACCTCCTCCCATGGACATGCCAAAACACCCATTCCCTGTCTTTCTCTGAAAGAGGCCTATTTCCATATCTTAGAAGATATAACCTGAAGGTCAAGCTTCTATTTTAACACATATCTCGAGGTGGATTGCAATCCTCTCCAGAGACCAGGGACACTTGCAGGCACTATCTTCATGTTCTCCCCGTGGCCAGCACCAGGTTGCTGGTGTCGCCCTGGAAAGAGCTTATGTACACATCTGGCATCCTGGCTTTTGCGACTGCCATCCAGGGGATGTACCCCTTGGATAGCCTGGTTCTGATGGCCAGCACTGCTTGAGGTCCAGTTCTACCGGACTGTAATGAACAAAGAAGCACTTCTTAATCAGCTATCCCTACCCCAACCCTCCAGGCTTAGTCCACAGGGAGCAGACAGAAATGGCCATCTCCTAGTCCTTCCCTAAAAGAGATCTATTTGCCTGCTTTAAAAGGTGCTGCCCAAGTGTCAGGCTTCTAATTTAGCAGACACCTAGCAGACTGTGATCCTCCCTGGAGACCAGGGATGTTAGCAAGTGTCATCTCCATGTTCTCCCTCTGGCTTGCTCCAGGTCACCAGTGTCTACCTGGAATGAGTTTGAACACATGTCTGTCACCC